CAACCCTGAGCCGGTGAGATTTGAACCGCTGAACTGCTGATCTAGCAGTAGCCTGCAGTGCTGCATTTAACCACTGCGCCACCTTGGCTCAGGCTACTTCGAATCCCAGAAGGATACGGCTAGCTGATGACAGCTAAATAGCTTGAAATAGATCTACAGTAGTCTTCCTTTATTTCTTTGTTGGTAAATAGAAATTCAATGCAAAAATAGTTTGTCACAAAAGCAACTGCCTACGAAGGCTCCTGGATTGGGGCTGAAAGGTGAGAGTGGAGACAGTATGCTCCATCCCATATTTTGGTAGACCAAGTTGCCCTGACAAACCGGTCTCACTGGTGGGGGCAGGGGGAGGAAAACAATGAACAGTTAAGAATTGAGGACCTGAAGGCAGAACAAGAAACAATTGATGGAAACTAATCAAGGAGAGAAGCAAGCTAGAATAAGAAGAAATTGCCTGAGAACAAGAACAATCAGTGGAATAGTCTGCCTCCAGAAATTGTGGGTGCTCCATCACTGGAGTTTTTTTAAAGAAGAGATTGGAGAGGCATTTGTCCAGAATGATCTAGGTTCCTGCTAGAAGAAGGGGCTTGGCCTAGAAGACCTTCAAGGTGTCTTCCAATCCTGTTATTCTGTTGTTCTGAATCGGAGCAAATAGACTTGGGCAGAGAAAGAGGACCAAGCAATTTCAAGAGCACAAAAGGATCTCACAGCAGTCATTAAGCACTCCTTACCCGGATGCAGTAAGTCAGGTAGGAGAAGACGGTAGCTTTGAGTGGGAAGGCTTCTCCTCGCACCACAGAGTACGGCAAGGTGAGTTCAATGAAGAACGGCTGGAAGGCCTTTAGAGAAGTGGGCTGGGCCAGGCCAAAGCCTACGTCTGCTGAAAGACAGAAAGCTCCAGCTTTCCATTCGGTGATGGTGTCCGGGATGGTCACAGGAACAGCAATCTCTTCGGATTCTTCAGATACATCACTCTTTCTACTAGAACTATGGACTTGAAAATGGCTATTTCCTTGAGAACCACTGAAGGACACAAGAGAATAGGAAGTGAGGGAAGCAGTCCACTACGGGTAGTCCTCGACTTACAACCATTTGTTTACCAACCATTCCACGTTACAACAGCACTGAAAAAAGTGACTTATGGCCATTTTTCATGCTTATGACCATTGCTACCACCTCATGGTCACGGGATCAAAATCTGGACACTTCACAATTGGCTCATATTCCCCTTTCGTGATCTTCGGACAAGCACAGTCAACGGGGAAGCCAGATTCACTTAACAACCCTGTCACTAACTAACAAGTTGTAAAATGGGGCAAAATTCACTTAACTGTCTCGCTTAGCAAGAGAAATGTTGGACTCAGTTGTGGTCCTCAGTCACTCCCTGCAATGAACTCCATCAAGGCGACACGGGATAATTGCTCACATTGATTACAAGGAGCCGCTTAACAATCGCTTGAAGTTATTATGGTGTCCCCCACCCCAAAGTTACATCTTTTCAAAGTTAGGATGGCTACGCAGAGACACACCAATCTCGTGATCACATTTTGGGCACTTGGCAACCAACCATTTGCAGCCTCCTGTGGTCACATGACTGAGATTTGCAATGGTTTTTTTTTGGGGGGGGGTGATTTCTGGTATTTAGTTCTGGTCACCAGCAAGCAACTCCCCATTGGGAAAAAAAAGGATTTGCTTAACAACCATGGTATTTGTTTAATGACCCATTGCAAAACAAAAAAAAATTCAGGGCCAGGTCAATTTATAACTGCAATGACTTATGACCTTAATTCCAGGCTCAGTTAGGATTATAAATGTAGTACTAACCATACTTTTTTTGGGGGGGGGGGGGAAAGACAGCATAAAAGATTGCTCAGTTCAGTGGTGGGATTCAAATAATTTAACAACCAGTTCTCTGCCCTAATGATTTCCTCCAACAACCAGTTCACCAAACTCCTTAGAAAGTTATCAACCGGTTCTCCCGAAGTGGTGCGAACTGGCTGAATCCCACTACTGGCTCAGTCCCAGAGCAGTTGTGCCAAATACCTCAATGAATCAGATGTCTACACAATAATACAGGTGGTCTTCAACTTACAACAGTTCACTTAGTGACTGTTCAAAGTTACAACGGCACTGAAAAAAACGTGAGTTACGGCCATTTCTCAAAGTTACAATCTTTGCGGCCTCCTCATTGTCATGTGGATGAAAATGCAGGTGCTTGGCAACTGTTTCATACTTATGACCGCTACTGTGTGCCAAGGTCATGTGATCCCCTTTTGCAAAATTCTATCAAGCAAAGTCAATGGGGAGGCCAGATTCGCTCAACAACCAGGCTCCTAACTTAACAAGGAATTCAGGTAATAACGATGGCAAGGAAGGTTGTAAAATGGGGCAAAATTCACTTAAGAAATGTCTTGCTTAACAATCTTTGGCAACTGATACATGTTTATAACTGTTGCAGTGTCCCAGGGTCACGTGATCACCTCCTGCAACCTTCTGACAAGCAAAGTCAATGGGGAAGCCAGACTCACTTAACAACCCTGTTACTAATTTAACAACTGCAGAGACCTTCTTAACAAATTCCTCACTTAACAACATATATTTTGGGCTCAATTGCGGTCGTACGTTGAGGACTGTCTGTACTTTTTATTAAAATCAGTATTACAATCAAGATGCCAGCTGCTCGTCTTCACAGTCTTTGAAGCTTGCTAGCAACTGCCATAACCAGAGGGAAGGGGGCATCTGGGAAGGGAAGCGTGCTGGAGGTGTGAAAGGATGCTATGGGAAATTGGGTAGTATAGACACTAACAGAGGTGCCAAACTGAGCCATATGCCAAGCTTCAAGGATGCCAGACCTGGGCACTGAGTTCCCAAAATATCGGAACAGAGCCTAGTGGCAATTGCTTTTAATATATAATTTTTGTGCAATTTTTCTGTAGAGCTTGTCTCAGCATCTCTAGTAAAAATACCTTTTTTCCCTAAAAACTATGGAGTCAAGGGTCTTTCTTTCCTAGGGAGTAGCTGGGGCCAGACTGACAGAAGATGGAATTCTAGGCAGACTCCTCCCACTCAAATTTTAAGCAGCTGACTTCTGGTGCCTTCCAGAAATATTGGATTACAACTGATTTCATGCTCAGCCAAGCCAGCCCAAACCCGCCATTGGGGATGATGGGAGGGAGGAGTTATAGCCCTGCATGCCTGGAAGCCCCCCTAGATTGGAGAAATTGGTCTCCAGGGAAATCTCTTAGGCTGTGCCATCCACTTACTTTATAATAACCAGGTCCCATATCCACGTTTCAGGAAAGAAGCGCCGAGGTGTCCTTTTAGGGGCAGCCTGAACCTGAGTGGGAATGGGAAGCCCTGAAAGAACACCACCAACAATACCACCTCCATGGAATGGCACAGAGGCACTTCCTGGGTTAAAGAAACCTTGAGCAACTCCAGGTATGTGTCCGATGCCAGAGCTGATTGGCGGTGACACCTCTGTAAGAGAGAGAGAGAGAGAAAGCCATTTAATGAGCTGTACTCGGAGGATACTAGTCCCTCCCCTCCCAGATCCAGTTTGGGTCTTTGTCTGCATAAATTCATGGCAGATGACTGGAGGCTTCCAGACAGTTGGGCAACGGGGAAACGATGTCCAATATTTCACTACTGGAAGCCTCAACCTTTCCATTTTCTTTGCTTCATGGGACCCCATACCAGAGTTCAAACATCACCTGCTAGATTACTCATAAACTCCACCCTCTTTGTGATGGTTAACACCAACCCCTCAATTAAAACTGTTGTTTGATGTCTAAGTATATTCATTCATGTTTTATGGCTGTGGTATTATCCTTTTCATCTTTTCTACTGACCACTCTTATTGGCATTGTATTGCGATTATTATGTACTCAATTATCCAGGTAAAAAGGTTAAATTGTGGCAATTAGACCAAAATTTATTAAATGGAGACGTTTCATTACTCATCCAAGTAACTCCTTCTGTCAAAATGAAATTTTTTGGTTAGGCATAGAGTCAAAGAATTGTTGGATTGTACTAACTCTTGCAGGGGTTTCTCTCCAAAATGAAACACAATAAGTAAATGAACACTCAATTATCCAGGCCAAAAGTATGTAAAAAGATTACATTATGGCAAACTGAACCAAAGTCCTACTCAATTACTCTTTGACTTTATGCCTAACCCAAAAGTTTCCTTTAACAGAAGAAGTTAAATTTGGATGATGAATGAAGCATCTCAGTTTAGTAAACTTTGGTCCAGTTGCCATGATTTAACCTTTTTACATATTATGATTATTATTACTCTGTTGCTGTGCATATACATTAAGAGCTTTTATACCGGAGACAAATTCCTTGTGTATCTAATCATACTTATTTATTTATTTACTTTATTTATTAATTAGACTTATATACCGCTTCATAAGGTTTTCAGCCCCCTCTAAGAGGTTTACAAATTTTTAGCAAATTGAGTCAGCAACTTGCCCCCACAGCCTTCTCTAAGCGGTTTACAGTTAGCATATCACCCCCAACAAACTGGGTCCTCATTTCACCCACCTCGGAAGGATGGAAGGCTGAGTCGACCTTGAGCCGGTGAGATTTGAACTGCTGAGCTGCAGATCACGGTCAGCTAAAGTGGCCTGCAGTACTGCACCCTAACCACTGAACCAAATGAAGTATTCTGTTCTGTTCTACTCCATTCCATTCTAATTAATATCAGTCTCTCAATTCCTCCCCTCACTGAACCCCAGCACCTAATTTGATGCGAGGGATGGGGGGAGGAACTCAGAAACTGACAAGATGGTGGCTGCAATTGGGTGATCAAAGTCACACCTCTTTAAATTGACATACATAAAAAAAGAGAAAGGCTTCACACAGACAGGTCTGACTGCCATCTTGCCTTTTTTTTTTAAAAAGTTTTTTTTTAAAAAAAACTTTTTCTCAAATATCATTTTACTGAGGGTGATTTTCTTAATGCTAACCCTGTGAATTATGTTTTGCTTAATGGTGGGCTTTTTTTAGCCTATTGATGTTTCAATGGGAGGAGAATCTTTTGCTTTATATTTATTCACAGTTTTGGTTTCTGCCACTGCCCTCTGGTACATGTCTCTGTACAAGTCAGGATTTGGCTCCTCAACAAGTCAGGAATAGCAATAGCACTTAGATTTGTATAGCGCTTCATAGTGCTTTACAGCCCTCTCTAAGCAGTTTACAGGGTCATCTTATTGCCCCCAACAATCTGGATCCTCATTTTGCCAACCTTGGAAGGATGGAAGCTGAATCAGCCTTGAGCCTGGTGAGATTTGAACTGCTGGCAGTCAGCAGAATTAGCCTGCAATACTGCATTCTCACCACTGCGCCACCATGACTCTTCTCAATTGCTTAAGAGAGTTCAGGAAAAGGATTTTTGGGCATCAAGAGAAAGTAAGGGGCATTGCCCACATGGTGATATCATTTGTAACAATGACACGGTGCAGATCATGTGAATTCTAGGGTACGGAAAAATGAAACAACAGAGCTGGAAGGGACCTTGGAGGTCTTCTACCTGCTGCTCAAGCAGAAGATCCTATACCATTTCAGACATGTTGTTGGCCAATCTCTTCTTAAAAATCCTCAGTGCTGGAGAACTCAGAACTTCTGAACACAAGTGGTTCCACTGGTTAATTGTTCTCTCAGGAAAGAGCTGCTTATTTCTAGGTTGGTCCTCTCCTTGATTAATTCTCAACCACTGATTCTTGTCCTGCCCTCAGATGCTTTGGAGAATAGGTTGCTACTCCCCCCCCCCCTTCTCTTTGGCAGCCTCTCAAATATCGGAAGACCATTGTCATGTCAACCCTAGTCCTTCTTTTCATTAGACTAAACATATCCAATTCTCGCAACAAAGGAACAGTCCCTCAGCCCCTGTGGAACAGAGGAATTTGGGATCAAATCTCAGCTATCGAGGTCTCCATCCATGCAAGAGTTCCAGCACTCAATCCTGAAAGTAGCTTGATTGTAAAAGATCCATTTCCTTATCATTTTCTCCCTATTCCAGTTCTTACCATGGTCAGGGCAGTATTCCGGGACACGTATCCTGGTGTTGGTAAAAATGTTCAAGCCGAAGTCCTACCAGATGAAGCAAAAAAGCCACTGAGGAACAGTCCTTTCTGCTCATGAAAACTACTGATCAATATTTATTTTTCAGTAAGATCTAATACACCCAATCACAAGGAATATATTACTGTCCAAACTCTCTCCAGTAATTTTTTTTCCATAATGCTCTGTACATCCTCTGTACATAGTGCTGTCCATTTGAGTGGCACTTAAAGGGACAGACAAGGAACAGATGGAAATTGGCATCTTCAATAGCCATCTATAGCCAGAAAGCCAACCCTTTGAGGGGTCTGCAGCAGAGAAGCACTGGGAGAGACATCTCACAGCTGTTAAACTTGATCGCGTCCCGGGACATCTCATTTAATCTTTTTCTTGAATATCCATGTTTTTCTGTTTTCTTAAAAGTTCATGTAAACTATGTCTTTGCCTTTGTGGAGCTGGGGTAGGCGTGGCCTGTATGTGACACATCTGGCCTGCAGAGCTCCAGTTTGACAGGCCTGTCTTAACAGAGGGCAGCTCTTGGCTGATAGCAATAGCACATAGAATTATATACCGCTTCACAGTGCTTTTCAGCCCTCTCTGAGAGGTTTACAGAATCAACCTCTTGCCCCCAACAATCTGTGTCCTCATTTTGCCAATTTCGGAAGGATGGAAGCTGAATTAACCTAGAGCCAGTCAGGATCGAACTCCTGGAGTGAGCAGTGAGTTAGCCTGCAGTACTTCATTCTAATCACTGCACCACCAGCAATAGAATTTTGGGCCTCAATTATGGTCATAAATTGAGGGCCACCTGTAAAGTCCGATTAAATCCCAGGGCAAATTTAGGAAGGACAAACCATTAAGAAAATAAGGAAAGAATATCATGAATGAAAGCAAATACACGTGTCCCAAGATAATGTTGCGGGATCCAATTTCAGTTAGTCACTAGGATGAGAGATTTTGTCTTCTGAGGTTTCGGACTCATGCTGGAGCCCATCTTCAGGGAACATCTGTCTACCGGAATGTGTGCTAGTTTCCTGAGGATGGGCTCCAGCATGAGATGAAAAGTTCGGGAGATCTCTGGTCCTGGTGACCAAGCAAGATTGGCTCCTGCAAGGAAACTATATCTCTATGGATCTGCCCAGGAAGATACCAGAAGTCTACTTCAGCTCAGCAGAGAACCTACTATGCCCTTCTCCTTGCTTAATGAGAACATCTCCCATGTGGGGAATCATAGCTTTGATGCTTACCCTGAATATGGTGTAAGAATCCCTATCTCCAGGGAAAAATTGCACTCCGAAGGCGCCAATGTTTCCAGCTCTGAATTGTTGTTGTGTACGACAGGAATGAAAATTGATTTCATCAAAAAAGACGGAAGAAGAGAAGATGAGATCTTTTTTGGGAAGGAAGCTGTAAACCTGGAAACAGAAATGCTGCAACTGAGGATGGAGATTTGGGCTAGAGGAACTTCCTGCCCATCAATCTATCAGCCCATGAAACAGATTGTACAAGAACAATCAATTTAACAATAGCACTTAGACTTATACCCTTCATAGTGTTTTATAGCCCTCTCTAAGTGGCTTACAGAGTCAGCCTATTGCCTCCAACAATCTGGGTCCTCATTTTTACCAACCTTGGAATGGCTGAGTCAATCTTGAGCCAGTCAGAATCAAACACCTGGATTGAGCAGTGGGCCCCAAATGAAATGCAGTTGGAACTCACCTTCTCAGGGGAGAGCTCAGCTTCAGGTTTCAAGAGAAAGACACTCTGGTCAACGGCATGGATGGCACAGAGGGAACCAGGGAAAGCTGAAAGATGGAGTTGGGCTTTCTGTCCGGGGAGACCTTCTTGATCAGAGAACCACAGTTTGGCCTGTAAACATAAACCAGGTTTTTGAAAAAGCCATTTCCTCTCGGTGTGGAAAAATGGAAGGAGAAATGAATGGAATGAAGTTATCCTTCTTGTCATGCATATTATAACCTTGAGTTGCCCTCTGTGACTAACCTCAAGCCACAGTTTGACAGGCTCAATGGAACGATTGGCTGACTCCCCCAAAATAGGCTGAAGTTGACTTCCGGTTTGGCGTCATTGCGATACAGTCATAGGGATCGGGGCTCCGCTACCCTAGGCTGAACTCTCTTCATTGGGGGCCCCTTAAAGGGCTAAAGTCACCTTGGAGGAATGATAAAGAAAGGAGGGATGCCTCCTAGATTGCAGAGAGTGAAAACTCTCCTGCCTGATCTGAGGCTTCTCCTCCTATCCAGCCATGAAGAAGAAATATTTATTGATATTGTTTTAATTGAAATATTAAAATGGACAAGAGATGAAGGATAGAAATAGAGTATCTACCAATATAAGATTTGTGATATTAGAATATAGAATAGAGGTAGAAATTAGAAAGGGGGGGGGGAGATAATTATGCATATTTCAATAGAATGTTACAGTTAGTAGGTAGATGAAAGGACCAGAAGTTGAAAGATGATTGTATTATATACAATGTTATTATATTGTAATATATTATATGATGTGAATAGGATTAATGTAATTAAGGCTATCAAAATTGTTAAAAAGAAAAAAGGCTTAAGGTTAGCCGATGTTTGGGGTTTTCTTTCCATTGCAATTTATTTATGACCCACTGAGATACCGGTAGTCAAGGGAACAGGTCTGGCTAGGACATAACTGATTACATCAGCCTGGGCCAGCAGATTGAAAAAGCGTAATTCAAGAGCTTTTTTTTCTCAAAGGATCAGGAGCAAAGAAGGCTTTGTGGATATTAGCATCAATAGAGCGGAGGAGCATCAGCTTACAGAAGACCTGTTCTGGATCATTAAGATTCTGCCTTTCTTTAACAGCACAACACAAAATGCACAATGTTACCTTGTTGGAGAAGCACTTTTCTACGGTGAAGTCTCTCGAGTCAGCAACGAGTTCTCCACTGGACAAAATGGTGTAGATCAGCAAGGAGATCTTGGGAGCACTGTCGACATCAACCAAGAGACTTAAAACGAAGTCCCCTTTGGCTTCTAAGGGATGAAAGTCCCGGGTGGAGGGAGATAGAGAGATTGAAAGAGACATATGCATTTCAATGAATGGATGGATGGGTAGGTAGATGGAATTAGTTCCAGTTGGAGTACATCAGACTTCACCAGGACGACCACAACAGGCTGGGAAATGTGAGTCAAAAATGGATCAATGAAGAACCAGGAGCTGAAGGAATTCAGCTGCTGTCTTCTTCTCAGTTGTGAGGGCTTGTCTTCTCCTCCACAATAAATGTTAGGTTTGTGGTGGCAATGATCAAGACGGTGGTCCTTCTTGTTTCAGGGATCCATGAAGCAGCAGGTGAATCTCCCTCCAGTAACATCTCCCACTGCACAGGAGGGCAACGGACATAAAACAGGCCCTGTGGCAGATGCCCTGGAGTCCTTCAACCCTTTGCCATCCTAAAAAACCCCAAATGCTGCCTAAGACCCATGAGTCAGTGCTGTTAGTAGTGCCTTCCCATGGCTCTCCAGGGTTTCTTGACTCTGGGTTGAATTTGGGGCCTTCTGGGTACCAGGTGATTGGAAACTGCATCCCATTCTCTATCCTTCTTTCGTCCACCTTGCATGTTTTTGTTATCCTTGAAAACAAAGTCACATCCAGCATGCCAGCCTGCTGACTACAAGAGACTGAGCCCCTAATCCTCTTTGTGGGTCTCT